TTAATGATTCGATGGTTTATGCATGACTGACTAAAGGATTGCTATGAATTAGATCCCTAGGCAATAAAAATCGCATGTTAGACTATGATATCGAAAGATGATTAGCTCATGTATGGGAATTAAGGAAGCTTAGTGAATCAAATCTCCTTCTAAGATTAGAGGTTTCCAAAGAACTTAATTCTTATTTTTCCTTTTGACAACCACTTAGAAATTTGATGGTAGAATTGGATTAATAAAGGATTAACATGACTTGAGAAAGCTTACTAATTAATTTAGGGAAATCCACCATCACATGCAAATAACTTTAAAATACCTTAGGGTAATTTTGGTCTTGAGTTGGATTGAATAGGCAATTATATAACCTTGATTTAATGAATAGGCATTCATTCATTGATTTAGTTTTTATTAAGTTTTATATTTGCATTAATTCTTCTTAGTTTTTATTCACTCAATTAATTCACGAATTTAACTCATGTTAGTTTAAAATTGATTTGGTATTGTGATCTAGTCTCTGTGGGATCGACACTCATCTCATCATTATACACATTTGACTAAGGTACACTTGCCTGAATTAACTGTGCAAAAATTACACAACATAATGTACAAGTAGTTGATAATAATAACAAATAATAAATTCCTTTTGTAATGTATTTTTTATGGGTGTTGGATTGGAGATGTCTCAAACTAATCCAGGTTTTCTATTCTTTTGACTGATCACAATTAGGCTTTCTTTGAGTACCCATTCAGAACCCATAGAAGTATTTGTAGCAAATCTCAAATGCCAGTACTTGATGAAGGAAGATTTGGCCTGACCTCGCAATCACTCCACGTGACAAAAGCAAATAGCTCGGCACAACAGTGCACCCAGGGCGCAAGCACCAAAGGGAAGAAACCAACAGTCCGAACTCCCTTCGAGGAGCCTGAACTCCCTACGAGGAGCCCGACCTCCCTACGAGGAGCCCGAACTCTCCCTTGGGCCCCGAGCCACACAAGGCAGTGACCCGAACTGGCCCGCCTCATGGCAGTTCGGGACACTCCCCTATCCGAACTCAAGACTTCACCTCGTTCGCCACTCCAGCACTTCGCCTCCGAGACGCCGAACTGAACAAGCGTACCATACCTGACACCGAGGAGGTCCGTATCCAAGGGCGGCGCGTCTGACTGACTTGGGATCTGACGCTTGACAGCCGTACTTCAACGGTCACCTACCACCGCCACCTGCCACCGTCATCGCCAGTCGTAGAGACGGCTCCGACAAAAGGGAGCAGTGGCGGTTCTGTCCAACAGAGGGGATGACACCCGAACTGCCAGGAGACCAGAGCTAATCGTACCCGACCTGACAAAAGCTTAGGAGTGAGTGCACGAGGTGGATATAAAAGGTTCCCTACCCCCAAGAACAAGGTATGCGAACTTTGCACCATCTGGTTTCATCTTGCCTAAGAATTCTAACTTGAGCTTCAGAGCATTCATACCGGGTTCCCCCCCGGAGCTTCCTCATCTTCTCTGTTTCAGGCTCCCTGTAGCTCCGGTTAGAGGCAAGGTCGTTGACAGCTAGGACTCAACCGGATTGCGCACCATCAGTACTCATTCAGGTTTTCTTTAAAGTTATGGAGCCTTTCCTTGTTGGGAAATAAAAAGTATTTGAACAAGTTTAGGTTCTCTTGTTGGGCTTTTATCGGCCCTATTGATGGTTATATGGTCACATTTTGGCGCAAAGTGAAGAGCTTGTTATAATGTCTCGTTCAATGTGTATATTGGATATTTGCATTTGTATCCATCTTAATAATCCAAACGCTTACATTTTTACATTTTGGATTGCATCCTATTTTGCCAAACTCCAAGAGTTCATTTTAAAAAGTATTTGTGTTTGCACTCCAACCAAACAGAGCCTTAGTTGCAAAGCACTAAAGAAGGGAGTAATCCATACACCCATAAGTGGCAATATGTTGATAGCTGAAGTGACTAACCGAATGATTTATTGTTTTGTCTTTTAGCAAATAAATTATTTTGTAGTCCTTTTCCCACATAAACGACATACTAGAGTATGTGCTATCTTTCTTAGTGTATGTTTGGATAACTGTGTGCATTTTTCAATAAACACTACCACATAGGTACCACTTCAGCATTTAACCCATCATGTTGATTCGTACACATAGAGACTCGTAAAAGTTGGTTTTGGTTTATGTGCACGTCCACTAATTGGGGAAACTTCATTTTAACGCTTCCTCCAATGGTTAGGCATTTATTCACTATTATGATGGTGCCTAGTGGCACCTAGTTGTCAATAAACGGTTTTGTTATTACTTTTCTCGATTTTGCAAACAAAGCAAGTACACACATTTAGTAAATAAACGAAAGTTATACCAAACATACTTAATATTTGTGTCATTTATAATCAGTTTTTTATTTTGGTAAAGTCATTTATGATCATTTAATAACTAAATTCACTGTCTTTGATGTAACTTCTTAAACTTAATTTGAGTTTTTACAAATGTATCATAATTTTTCACCATATCCATGTATATCCAAAGTGTATCTCAATATATCCCTTAATATTACTTCTTGGATGTTCCTTGCATTTCCAATAATTTGAACCTTAGGCTGTATTTGGTTGCAATACAAATAAATTTACATTGATGCAAAACTATGACAGTGCAAATGATTTTAGTGTAAATTTAAAATTCTGGCCTATCTTTATTTCAAAATTTAGCTTATTTTGTTTGATTGTAGTACAGATGAAATAAATTAAAACATGAAACAGAACAAAGTAAAACCCAAAACAAAATTAAACTAGAATTTGTACACTCTCATGCATTTGTACTAATGCAAATAAAATTGCACAGCAACCAAACATAGCCTTAGTATAGGTTCTTTCACTTTTTCAATGGCAACAAAAGTTGATCAATGTGAAGTAATTGGGCTGAACGAAATTTATTTTTTCAAATTCAAATTTAGTTGGATTCACCCTTATATGATCAGATTTTGTTCAACTTAAATATTTATGCTTACATGTAGTTAAAATTTATGTTGTATCTATTAGTAAATTTGGTTTAGATGTTATGTTTTTACTGAAGTCATACGTTCAAGTTTAACACAAATTATTTTCAATTTAGTTCATTTAATTAGTAATATATAATATTTTGATAATTCTTAATTTAATTTATTAATACTAATTAATATCATCCGATTGCAATTCCAAATTCAATCCAAGTTGGATATAAATCATACATATAAGATTGGATTCAAATTTGAAAATTTAACAAATCAAATTATCCCATTTAATTGGATCAGCTTGCAGAGTAGAAGCAATGGTACAAAAAAGGTTAATTTTCAATGTTAGTAAACTGAAGTTATTTTCAGAAAGCAATAAGAAAATTCTCATATAGGTGCTGAAAAAGAATTTGGCCTACTGCCCCAATGAACTCTTGTCCTCTTAATAGTAGGGGTGTTCACGGGTCGGGTTGGGTTGGTTTATTGGGGTTTTCCCAACCGACCCGACCTGGTCGGGTTACTTGAGGTGGAAACCAAAACCGACCCATTGATAGGCCAAACCAGCCTGGTCGGTTTGGGTCGGTTTCGGTTTTGCTCCTGTACAAAAGGACACCTAATTGAATTCTAATTGTAATTGCCTAATGGGTTGCCTATTTGGTGTAAAAGACTATAGAAAGTTAGAAACTATGATAGATTGCCTATTCTAATTATAATTGCCTAATGGGCCTTCTAGTTCTAGTAGATATTAGTTATAATTAAGTAGGAAACTACTCAAACTAGGAACTACCGAACTAGTAGAAGACTAGTTTGGTTCGGGTCGGATTGGTTTCGGTTTTCACACAAGAAAACCAAAACCAACCCGATATATCGGTTTATATATTTGCCCAACCCGAAACTGACCGGTACTGATGAAAACCCGACCGACTCGGGTTAAGTCGGTCCAGGTTGATCGGTTTGGTCGGGTTGGGCATTCTTATGAACAGCCCTACTTAATAGATCAATAATAAGAAAATTCTCACATTGGTTTCTTTTTTTTCTCCATTAAGCCCCATTCATTTTTAGGAAAGTGTTGAGTTGAAACGTTTTGCAAGTTTAGATACATTTAGAAGTTCGGGGACCAAAGTGACACTAGGCCCAAAATACAGGGTGCTAATCTGAAATTTTTCCTAAATTAAAATACACTTACCTAGATAAGTAAAGTTACTTGTGCGCTTGATTCTAAGATAAATTATATAATAACTCTTTTATCCATAAAAAAATATTGTTTGAATGGACAAAATTATCCCAACATGTCTTATCAATTTTTCCCCTAGGTGGAGATAGGTATCACTAAACTAGGATGGCTATTTTTCCATAGTTCCTACATGAACGTGAAAAACAAATATGGGAAAAGCAATCAATTGGAACCACGATCCCATTGACCGGTTTCCCCCTTCAACTGTATTTGGATGCGGTGTAAATCAAGAACCGATGTAAATTTTACATTGGATCACTTTTGTACATGTTTGGTAAAAAAGTGTAATCACTATCGACGTAAAACTACACTCCGATTCAGTTTTGTGAGCGTTTGGATGGAATGTAGTTTTACGTTGATGATAGATGTAAAACCTCATCACATTTAAAGTTTTACATCAATAATCGATGTAAAAACTACATCAATTTTATCGATGTAAAAACTACATCAATTTTATCGATGTAAAAACTACATCAATTTTATCGATGTAAAATTTAAACAACTTTTTACATCAATTTCAAAATACAACGGTCATATATATTTAAGGCTCAATGTAAAACATCATCAGTGTATTTTTAATGTAACATTTTACACCTCTTCCAAACGCAGCCTTCAGAATCCAAAAAACAAAAATGGGACAAGTCTGCATAAAGTGTTGCTTCTTCGAAATCAGGTGGGTTGATAATAAGAGCAGCTATGCATTAGTTTCCCTCAAAACACCGAGATGTTTGAGAGTTTAGATTTCGCATCATCATCGTCCAGTCTAAAGACCATGGATACAAGGTAGATAAAGTATAATTCCAAACACAAGTTCAATACCAAGTGTAAGAGAACAATTGCAATAAACAATATTTACAGGTCAACTAAGTGATGAATCCATAAGATGCAGAATGATGCAAATATGTTCATGATAAATAAATAAAAAATGCAATAATTGAGCCCAAGTAAAACTATACTTAAGTAGAGTAATAGCATTGCAAGTCTTCTTTCTATTCATATTTTGTTTTTCTATCTAGATTCTTCACACCGCTGCCCTTCCATTTGCATTGTAGTCAGTTGCAAGGACCTGACCATATTCACCTTTAGGATCTTCTTCTTCAAGGTAATCAGCTCTGGCATTCAGTGTCAGCATTTGGCAAATCAACCAGAAGAGGGAAGCATCAAGGGCCAGAAAAGCAGCACCACCAAAAAGACCAGTTTTGGCTGTGGGGCAACCTGTCTCTAGGTTGTGATGCACGTTCCGGGCAAGGTGAAGGCCTTCAGTGATTGAAGCCCACATCATCATCCCTTCTGCTAAAACAGACACTCCACTGGTTTCACCAGTGAATAAAATAAATACTTCAGAAACAATAAAAACTATAAACAAATTAATACGCATTGTTCCATACATTTAACACAGTTAATGCCTGGGGCATTTTATCATCAACATCTAAGTGGATCGTCCTTCATCTTTGTCAAATCATCATGCTTTGCTATTAGATCCACAGTTCTGGTAGGTACAGTGAACCTGGGTCATGTGCAAACCTTGGTTCTGGATAAAGTGGACATGGGTTGACAGGTACATGTTCAGGGTAGTTTTCTTTATGTTATACCTTCTAACAGGAGAAAGAGAGGGGATACATGTATACAGTTGAATTCCCTGTGCCGTAAAAACCAGATGGTAAGGAGACAATTAGCACAAGTAGTTATATCCTACTGGAAGAAATTTTGACAAAACTTCAAAAGTAGTTGGTTTGGTTAATTGTTCCAATCTATGCAAGGTTTCCACTTACTTTTTATAAAATGAAGAAACTGGATTTGTGGACATTGTCAATCACACTGTTCTGAATACTACATAATGCTCCAGAAACTCAAAAAAATCAACCTAGGCTATAAATTATCAAAAGGGAAACAGTTGTTTAATGTAGATTATATTTAATCGCCCACAAGTTCACAAGCAATTAATTGCAAATATGAAATTTTCTATAGTAAGTATAGGAGAAAGGACAAAAAAGGATAGGTATAATAAAATAGAAAGATGATGTTTCAAACGCTCAATAAATAAACAGAAATTTATCAATGAGATCCAGGAGAATAAACTTACATTGCAATTGTAAAGAAGACAACCAAGGAAGAGCTTCGAAACAAAGCCTCCGTTGGAACAGATTTCCCTTTGTAGGGGTAAAACACAGAGACTAATCCAAGACAAGTGCATAGAAAGAGAGCAACAACAGATAAGCTTCCCAAGGCCACAGTTGGGTCAGATGGATATTTGCAAATAACAACATCTTTCCCCGGGATTGCAATTCCAGATGCAGGCTGGCAAGAAACAAGAAAGAGTTACGAGTTAAGAAGTTAGAAAGCACAAACAGACAACGATAGCAGTTGCAGACAACAAAATTATAAAACCTCTGGAAATTTTATACTCAAGCTCATAAAAACTAACAGACTCAAAACCCTGAAAAATGAAGTAGATTTGATTGTATTTATTTACCAAAAAAATCTCTGGAATTTTTACCAAAAAAAAGAAGAATGTACTTAAGGTATTATTCAGCAAATATGATTTGATTGTATTTATTTACAAGCATGGATTTCTTTGACTAATAAAAGAAGGAAAAGAAAATTAGGAAGATCTTTCTATGTTGCCCTAATTTTATGTACTGACAATTCTTGCTAAATTCTTGGGCCATTAAAGAAAGATAAAGCAAAGACTTGCAAAATGTTCTTAAACAGTAAGCATATAATGGAGTAATATGAATGTCCTTAATGCTCCTTTTTTTTCAAAGAAGATAACTAAAAGATTATATTAAAGATAAAAAAAAACAAAGTACATGAGACAATCTATATCAGCAAAGAGGGGATCTGGCTCAGATACTACACCGCCAAATAATTTTCAATATACATAGAATATTTGTGGACACCCATTTTTTCTAGTTCATCAGCCAATGAACTTGATTCCCTAGTAATCATAATACACAGCAATAATACTTTGACTCCCAGCTTATAGAGGATTGAAGATTTTAAGCCTATATACCAGACAATCTTTGCTGGTAGCCCAGGCAAACAAGTGGATATCTTATGGACATCCCTATTTGTCTAAGTTTTACATATGTTGGCAAATTTAGATGCCCAGAAACCTAATATGCTTCCAAATAGAAAGCTAAACACAGAATGCACCTTCGAGCACTAGGCAAAGATGTTGGGTACCTAGTACCAGCAATAATGAAGAAACCAAAATTCCTTATTTTATCCTTTCAATCCCAACTCATAAGGATGGTTCAAGCTTGACACTGACGATACAGCTGTACTTTCAGATATAAGAGAACCTGCTGGTGGAATCGTGCAAAATCATCAAGTATATTAGATAAGCAAGTAGAGGAAAAAGTTTGGAGGTGTCCAAGTGCAGTGGCCTTTGCCTAGTTCATGTATTGGAATGCACCCCAATATGGTAGCACACTATATAGCCAGATCTGCTTGCAAAGGTGCAGAGGATAGAATTTTGATCAGGCATCCCTCCCCATTAAATAAGGCACCTAGTTTTCAAAGAGCCTTGTATAGAAATATATCGAGCTATCGACTGTAACAAAAAAAAATGAAAATGAAATAATGAAATAATGAAATAAAAAAGAAAACAAACACCACATGTAAAGATCAATACAGAAATTTCTGTTTCCCCTCTAATTTTAATACTTTTCAATATTCAAAATTGTTTTCGTGGACGTTTCCCAATTCTAAATATTATACTTTTGGGCTTGCAAATCTGAGACTATCAACAAATTTTACATTTTTTCTTGCATCTATCAACTTTGGTCTACTACTTAAAGATTTAAAGGATGATCAAATCCGCCATAGATAACAGAAAGCAGTAGAATTAAAAGTGCAAAGTAATAAATGAAAAAAAAATACTGTATTTATAGGTATTCACTCCATTCTACTTGATATCTAAACTTTGAAAGGAAAAAAAAAAAAACCTTTTTATTCTCTGCAATTATTCCAAGTATGAAGGAGAGCACGCCAAGGGCCGCCACAGTAAGAGAAACATGTGCAGTCCGAATTGCCATTCTCCAGCGAAAAGTGCACAGAATTCAAAATCTCGGCACAGAACAATCTGCAGCCAAGAACATCATAAACTGGCAGATCAGGAAAAAAAAAGGTAGATAAAGCATCAAACACTAAAAAGAAAGAAAAAAAACTGCAAAAGATGACGCATATATTTGTTTTAAGATCAAGAGTCAAGACAACAGTCTCCCTAAGAAATCATTCACATCAAACGACAGAACTCAGCAACAAAGTGATCTCTTCCAAAACTTAGACGAGGAGACAGAAAAACAAGCAGGGAAGAGTTAAAGAAATATCCTTCAACATAATAAAAATAAGCAGAAATTCAACGGAGAAAATAGATTTCTTCTTCTTCATCTTGTTGCTTGTTTTGTAAAATCAGAATACATGACAAATTGATAATAAATCAATAATAAAAAGAAATGAATAAAAAGAGAAGAGGTCTTACTCTTGACTCTTGAGTCTTACCCGTGAGGAGATAGATACGAAGGAATCTGAATACACAATGGCTTTGGCTCACACCTCACAGTGATCAAGACTGAATGGTAGACTTGCGAGCGGAGCGATATTTATGGAGAAGACCGACGAAGAATGGAGGAATCTTTATTTTAGGGTTTATTTTATTAACAAAAGAAGTCAAACTCGAATAAAATTTGGACTCACGTTTTTAACAGAATCTTCGTTCTTGTTCAGAATTAGAGCACTGATTGAATGATGAGGAGTGAAGAGATCCTCATCGTACGATTACGATCTGGACCCACTTTTTGTATGGTAGTAATGTAGTATCTTTTTAACACCGTTCGATTAAAGGAATATTTTATAGTGGGGCAGGGGCACATTCAGTAAATACTAAAAACGTGAAACTATCAAACTAGATAGAGGCGGTGTCCGTGTCAAAGACCTACCGAGATCACGAGTTTTGTCAAGGTCCCATACTTTCTTTTTTTTCCTCTCATCAGTAGGGATGTAAGAGTATAGGATCCGGATCGGATTTAGAACAATGGCGTCCAAATTTGACCCGAAATCCAATAGGATTTGAAGATATCGGATTCAAACTCAAATTCTAACGGATTTGGATCGAAGTTATATTTATTCTTTTTAATACATAAAATTAAAAAATTTAATATAAATATAATATACAAAATTTCTTATATATAATTTCATATGCAATATAATATATTAAGTTATATTTTATAATTTCAAATATAATTATATAAATTTTATATATTAAAATCAATAAATATTATAATGTAACTGAATTCGGATTTTAATTAGATAGGACGAGTCGAATTAGATATAGATTATAAAATCCAAATCCAAATCCGATTAATTAGATATGGGAAATTGTCTAAAACTCACCATAAGTTTTCAGCATTTCTCTTAAAACCCACCACAACTTTTCAAAATGTCTAAAACTCTAACTTGACGTTAAAGAGACTAACGGGTGTTGATATATTACCATTTTAACCTTCATAGAGAAATACAAAATATATACAAAATAAATTATATTACCATTTTAATATTTAGACGTGAAAAAAGGAAAATGTTCAAAAAAATATTTTCAAATATAAAATACATAAAAACATAGAAATTACAAAAAATATAAAAAATTATAGAAATTGCAAACAAAATAAAAATTATTTTCAAATTATATAAACTATATAAATTGAAAAAAAAATCAAAAAATAAAAAGTGTAGAAAAACACCAAAAATTATAGGAAAACACAGAAATTGTAAATAAATAACAAAAATACAGGAAAATTTATAGATTGTAGAAAATAGAAAAATGTAAAAAAAAGAAACAGAAATTGAAAAACATTGGAAATTATAGCAAAACACTAAAAATGCAAAAAAAAAACAAGAAAATTGAAAACTGAAAAAGACCATTTTTTCTCTAACTCATCATTCAACGGTAATTTGGTCATGAAATTTGTTATTTATACTGACATTGACACCTCTGTTAAGAAGCATTAACGGTGCACTAACGGAATGTGAGTTTTAGAAAATAAAAACTTACCGACATAGTGAGTTTTAGACATTTTGAAAAGTTGTGGTGAATTTAAGAGAAATATTGAAAACTCATGATGAGTTTTAGACAGTTTCCCATTAGATATAGATTGTAAAATCCAAATCCAATCTAATCTGATTATGTAAACACATCATCTGCATCCTAAATAATCAAACCAGATGTTCTTGATTGGAATTTGGTAAAAATCTGAAAAGTAAAAAAGAAAAAAAAAAGATTTCCATGAGCCAAAAAATTGACTTCCTGATGAAGCCATGGTAGGTAGCTTATCAAAAGCCAGTGCTCAACCACTAGAGAAGCCCTCCTACACTAGTATTCAAAATTTTAGGAGGAACTTTGACAAATCAATAGGAATAGGAGTGCAACTTGGACATGCTTGAGTTGGGCTTTTGTCAAAGTTTGAATGAATCCGGCCCAAAAAGGCCCAAAAAACAATGTAATATGTCAACTTGGGCCAACTTGTCAAAATGCTTGAAGTTTCCGATATGATGTTTATTGTGCTCCATGGGGGGATTCTTTCTTCCTTTGATGCATTGAATAATAATGAGACTTTGAGTTGAATGGCTGCCTGAATTGCATCCTTTGCCGCCCAAGCTTCAGTAACAAAAATATCCAATCTTCTTACACTTAGAACTGATGATAATGCTCCCCTTGTACAGTGTACTATTTGGCTAATCAACTTATGGAAGTTCATCAAATTTGCATGATGCATCAAAATTGAACTTGATCTGGTTTAAATTAGGGGGCAACCGCCTGATATATGGCTGCCTTTTCCATCATTTTTAAAGGCAGTTTTATTTCTTTAGATTCATAAGTTCCAAACTCTCTCTCTCTCTCTTTGCATTTATAGATATAGCAATTCAGTGGTATTTTTATTTTGGGCTTAAGGCTGCATTTGGAAATTATGTAAATAAGTGTGAATGCAAATATGTAGAGTGTAAAACGGTTCATATAAATTGTAAAGTTGGGTTAGTTTTGCACTGACAAATTTACTTTCTTACCAAATAGACTTTTAACTGTAACGGATGCAAACATGAATTTCAATAAAGCATATGTTTTTTTTTTTATGAAAAGCCCACTTGAATGCAAATTTACTTCTTTTTTATTAATATACTTTTACATCTTATTATTAATATAAATATGCATTGATCTGTCATTTGTCAATGCATAAATGTAATATTGACAAATACAGGCAAAAATGAACCAGAGTGCAAATTTACCCTAAACCGAGATTTACACTCCATTTACATCGTTTCCAAACACAACCTCAAGGGAATTTGATCTACCAATTGCCATATTTGCCTAACTTCTTTGCATTGCATAAATAGATGGAGGGAGCTTTCGTCTTGATGGAATAACTCTGAACTAAAATTTTCCTAGAATTTTTTTGGCAAACAGATAATTTTCCTAGTTAGGATTTTGCCCATAATGAGGTGCCATTGGAGGAACTTTATTTTCGGTTGAATATTTGGTTTCCTTAAAAATATTATTCAATTTGATATTTTCCTCTTGATCTGCACATTGACCCATGTGGTTGACACGATTGTGAATGAACCATTTGTATTGGGCCCCCACCGAACTTGTCGTCCCTACCCGAATTGGGGTGGGCAAGAATTGGACTCTCTCCATCCACCAAGATTTACTTGAATGATCTATAAACTGATTGACCCCACATACGAAGTTTATTATGGGCTCAATACCATCCCAGTTGTCCATCCAAAACTTGACTTCTTATTGGGTCTTGACTATTTTTAAGATTCCTTTTCAATTTAGGGGGTATTCTTTTTTTAGATTTTGAGAGGGGGGAAAGTTGGTCAATGGGAACCAAATTTCTATTGACCAAGAATCCCATGTTTTTTTTTTCAGATTAATGTGGGGACAAGGGAAAGTTTATTTTCTTGGGCATCACTTGCTCAGGTAAGTGATACTCATCCCTTAGGTGGGTACAAAAATATACTCATCCCCCCACCTAGGGGGAAAGATTCCAACACTTGAATGGTACAAAAATGTTCCATTTAATAATTGATTTTTATGGTTAAAATGGTCATTTCCTTTTTTACTTGGGAAATAAAAGAATATGTTTAAATACACTTACCTGGTAAGTGTTTTCCAAGAAAATCTTACCCAACTAACTGTATTTACCTGGGTAAATAACTTACCAAAAAGAGCTTTAGAGACATTCATCTTTGGATTCACCTCATCTCAAAAAGGCCCTTGTTTCTTTAAGTATTTTGCTTTGACCACTCTAACCCATATGCTATTTGGCTCTGAGATAATCTCCATCCTAGTTTGGCCATGCAGGCTTGGTTAATGCCAATTGCTTTTCCAATGCCTAACTCTCATAAATGTGTAAGTTTGCAAAAATTTTCCCAAATGAAGGTAATTTGGATTTTGTCAATTTCTTTTAGAGTTGTTTCAGTAAGAGCAAGGTTCAAAGTATTGGTACACCCAATATGCACAAACATATGTATTGGGTGAGTGAAAAAACTACTTTTTTAGTTATATTTTTAAGGGGCTTAAATTATTAATATTTAACATTTAAAGATGACCTATCATCACTCAATATGGGGTGTATCGTATTGGTACTATGATTTTATGAACCTTGAGTGAGAAGGAAACATGACATTTGGTAGAAAGGAACCGTAGGGTTAGTTTACCTTCTTTTGGTTGTTGTTATTATGGCTAGTATGGCTAACTTCCAGCTTTTTAATTTATACTTGATTGTCTTAGTGATTTCCTTTAGGCTATGTTTGGTTTGAAGGAAAATGTAGGGAAAGGAAGGGAAACAGGTAAGAACACTTATACAAGATTTGTAAAGGTTTCCTTATCTTTTCCTTCCTTTCCCTACTTTTTCCTTCAAACCAAGCACACCGTTAGATTTAATCTCTCAGCAATGTTTGGCATTATTGGAACTCCCAAATACCTCTCTTTACTGTTGGAGATTGGGATTCCTAGTATATGAAATAACGGTTTTTCTATGTTGTTTGGCAGTTTTTTTTTTTTGAAAAAATAGATCTTTGACTTCTTACAATTTACTTTCTGCCCCAATGCCTGTTCATACTGGTTTAGAATTTGTTGAATTTCCTCACAACTATTTAGAAAGGCCTTTCCATATATGGGGTTTTGGTTCATTCTTTAAGGATTTGTTGAATCTCCACGTCGGATGCCTCTAAATGCCTAGAATTTTGGTCCCAATTGTTGATTCTAAAGGAGTGAAAATATACTCCAAGATCCACTGGATCCATTCGTCGCTAAAGATTGTTTTGTGGTGGCATTCAACAATTTTGGTTGTTTTTTTATTTTAATTATTATTTTTTTATTTTTTAGTTGGAACAGGTCATCCATTCGAACCGGATGATTGAACCGTTAACTTAAAAATTGGTGGCCAGAACGATTTTGATTCCAATTTCGGATCAATTTTTAAAACCTTGCCTAAAGTTATCTGCAATTTTAGTTTTTCTTTTTATTATTTTTTAATTAGAGATTAGGGTGATCAACGTCAAAAGCCTAGTTCTCTGGTCAACTTGTAATTGTGAAAGAAGGCCTTTACCGTACAACTTTCCATACTTGTCCCCAAAACTTCTTTGTAGG